GGGAAAGAGATAAATGGAATTAACTTCCCTCTTCTTTATTGTCTGTACAAACATTAAGCAAAGATATTGTGCCTTGTTTTGTTTTCTGCCTCTTCCTTTACGACTAACAGTGAATTATGGCAACCCCTTTTTCTAGCTCAGATAAATAGGCCAGCCTGCTGGGGCAGACAGGAGGGGAGGGTCGGGGATGAGAGACGGTGCATCCTCCCTAAACCAGGCTAACTTTGCCCAATTAAGTGGAGCATTACCCCCAAAGCTGTCACCCATCTGTCCATTTCCATCCTGCTAAAGGCAAACAGATTATCACCCGCTTCCCCACTGCCTCTCCATGGTAATGTAAGAGCCACTTCATGTATAAGCTACTCCAGGATAGCTGCACATCTGTTTTGTCCCCTGATCCTTCTGTGATTTATATCAGTATATGAACCAGTGTAAATTATGTGTGCATTTGTCTGTGATCACAGGTTCAAGTTCCTTTCCATTGTTAAGCAATAAGTCAGTAGCAGAGCTGAGAAGAGAATCTCACAGTGCTGATGGCCAGTTTCCTGCCGGGTCCCAGGCATTCAGTATAAGGTACTAAACATATGAATCCAACAGCTGTGATGGTTAACCAACACAGCAATTCTTCAATAGTGTTTTGCAACTGCTGTACTGAGGAGGTGGCAAACAGGATATCTTGTCTGGAAAAAAAACTTCCCACTCTGCGTCATGGGAGAAAAGGCAGTAACATTACTCTACCTAGTAATTATGAAGATTTGTTTTTCATGCCTTAATAGTTTTAATCAATTTTGTGTTAGTAGAAGACAAAGTAATTGAATGTTTGGTTTAGTGTGTGCAGCTGGAGTGTGGATTTAGGCTAAATCTGACCACAAAGTGAACCTTGCTCTGCACAAAGATGAACCCCCCACCTGGGAAATAAAACCACCAGCTCCTCTAAGCAGAAAGGGGCTAGGATCAAATACTCCACTCCATTGAGCTAGTTTAAGTTTGTTCAAGTCAATGAAGTGAATTACACTGCCTTCGACCTGTTATTGAAGACTCAGGCCCTGTGTGTTCAGTCCACAAGCCAGTAAATACGTGACAACCCTTTTGTCACTGCCGTGTACCCTGCAAAGTCACTTTTCATAGTAGAAGAGGCACCAAAGCATGTGTAAGTAGGTGTCTCCATCCTGTATCTGGAACTATCCCTTTGAAGCATAGCCAGCCTGCTTATTCCTACTGTGTGTTCACCAAATCCCCCTAAACGAGATCATATCACTGCCTTGGAGCAGCACTGAGCATGTGTCCAGCCCCACATTGTTTATTGCCCCTAAGATGGTTTTTTGCCGCATTTCTATGAGCAGGGCATACTTCTCAATTAGCATGCCCAGGGAAGGCTCAGAAGCAGCATAGGCAGGCCCCAAGTCAAAATCGCTAGCCAGGGTTTGTCTACCTGTACGAGTTGTATCAGTTTAATTGGACCATTAGAATAAAAGCAGCGCAAGCTCCTGGCATGAGCTCTGTTATGTTGGGGTGGAGGTGCGATGCCAGGAGAGCTTGTCTCCATATGGAACGGGGAGTAGACCTACACCAGTAGAAAGGCGTTTGATCCTGGTATAACTGCATCCGCATTTAACCTGCACTATTTGGTTTTATGTTTTGTTTTGTTTTTTTTTAACATAAAATGATTAGATTAGACCCCTTAACCAATTCACTTTTATTGCCACCACAATTACATGTAGGTACATCAGTAGCAAAACCTACTTCTCATTTACGTTATGGCTGCTTTACACTCTAGCATTGTAAAGGCGCCCCAGAGTAAATTTAAACACAATTTGCCTCCACTTTTAGATTTCTGTATGTTGCCAGGGCAATATAATGGGGCCTAAGTGTAAATGGCAATCAGGCTCTTTGGATTCACTTGAGCAGGAGTAAAAATGATTATGCAAGTACAGGACTGTAGAGAATTGCTCCGCATAGGTGTTGATGTAGCAAAGTCAAACAGGGCCCTAAGACTGCTATTCAGGTAAGCTGGAAGAAATTTAATTGAAGGCAATGGAGGTACAGCTTGGGAAAACTGAGAATTTAAGTCAAATCACCGATGTTGCTTTGGACACACTGGATTTGACACTCCAAAGCCTTTCCCTTCAAATAGTGTTGGCACATGTGCAAAGTGGGTATGAAAAGCTACTAAATACAAATTCTTCATCTGTACAGGTCGCTTTTTCTTTTACATACGTTTGTCCAACCTAAACTCTCATCCGATGTAAATTTTTGCATTAGTTGAAGGCTTGGCCCCCAGCGCCTGATTCTGTTTACTCTGCACTATTTTTTTTCTTTACACTAATTTCAAGGATTTTAACAGCGTTGTTTCCAATTGATACTGATGTACAAATGGGATCAGAGTCGGGGCTATGAGTTACAGCAGTGCTGAGTGGCGTATATGAGACATGTTGCCTTTAGTCAGCACGTGCCTTTTGAAGCCGAGTCTTGAATCTCTGAGAGCTTAGGAATCCCCAGTGGCATCAAATTTGGGGGTGCGCCTATTTGTAACGTGATGCACAATACTGACTTTTTTGTGGTCCATTGGATGGCTGCTTAGAACGACTTCCCTATGCATCATATTCCGATATCTTCCCACGTCTGCCACCCTTGCCCAGTAATAATTGGAGCAGGTATACCACTGGGTGTTTACTTTGAAGAGTTCTGTCCTTTGGAAACACGGCTCCAAAGGCACTAACCCTGTCTATTCACGTCATAAATTTAGAAAGGAAAAAGTAAAAACCAGAATAAAGGATGTGAAATGAGAACTGTTCTTACTTTCTTGGAGCAAAATTCAGAGCACATCTCCACCGTCAAATTGGACTGTATCAAAGAGGCTGGAAAGGTGTCTGTTAAATTTTCTGGAGCTTTAAAACATCCGCGATAGATAACATTCCTCCCTGCAGGGATATGAAATAGGTTTCTCTTGAGAAAACAGAGCCCATAGTTGCCTGCCGCTATCACAAAGAACAATATTAGTTTCGGATCCTAAAGGAAAAAAATTATATATATATATTCAGCACAGTTTAGAAATAAGAGAAACGCAGATATACACTAGGAAAATGTGTTGCAAAATCCTGCTGTACTGAAAAGAAACACATGCCTTTTAGCTCTGTACTAACTATTGAAAGTAGGGCTGCGGAGAGGAGTTTAATTTAAATTCCACCAGTGGAGGGCATTGCTATTGTTTGCAAGCCCCGGTTTGCTTTTGAAGATATTTTTTTTTTTCTTTGAGCGGCTTAAAAGCCTTGATAAAAATCTACAAAGCTTCCCATGATCCAGACCAGGAGAAAAAAAAGCAGACTTTAAATGAGTTCAGAAGCCCCCTGTGGGGGCCTACCTTTCTGCACATCTGTTCAGTAGCTAACATGTGTGCCCCCCTCCACATTCCCATTCATATTCTTTTCAGCGCAGGGGAGCTGACTACAGCTTCTCAGATCAAAACTAGGCTTTTTTTTTTTTTTTTAAATAAGTTCTTCATGGAGAGGGCAAGCTCTTTCCTTGGGTGCCAGATACTGATCTTATTAACCCCAGGAATTGTAGAGTGGCAGCTGTGTAGCTGAGGTGAGAAATAGGATCTCGGTCTAGCTGGAGTTACAATGCAGGGTTTCCTCACGCTTGATACACAGGCATAAATTCCCCCCTTGTGGAATTGATGCAGATGTATTATTTTTCCTTGAATGATGGTGATGAATGAAATGATAATGATATTTTACTAAGCCAGACACACAGCCATAATGATAACAACATCTAGTACTTAGATATCACTTTTAAATTCTAGCTTCCTATACACTTTACAGAGGTAGCAAGTATCTATCCTGATTTTACATATGAGGAAACAAAGGGATATAAAAGTGAAATGACTTGCCAAGGTATCCAGGTTGTAGCCGTATTGGTCTAGAGGAAAAGGCAAACAGGACTCGTAGTAGAGATTATCTTTTATTAGACCAACAATATTTTTGCAAAAAAATCAGGAGCCGGAGAGTCCTGGGGGGGGTGGTTTGGGTTTTGTTGCAAAAATCTTTTTTGGTCTAATAAAAGATAATCTCTACTATGAGTCCTGAATGACTTGCCAAGGACACTCAGCAGGCTAGCGGCATGCCTGGGAATGAAACTTGTCCCCTGAGTTGAGGTCCGGTGCTTTATTCATTGGACATCCCTGTCTCCCTAAACAATACTTGCCTCAGGTAATTGGACAAATATAGTTAATATTGGGCTGGAGTAACAGGCAACCTATACATGAGCATGGAGGCTGCTCCAATGTGCTGGAATTGCAGCACATTGGAGTGGACTCAATTACTTGAGTCTGTTGGACCATGGCAATTACCGTGCTCCAGCCTTCGTCTCATGTATCAGCATCCCCGCGCTTTAAAAATGGTGGTGGGGGCACTTGAACTAAGGGTGGAGAGAGAAGTGCAGCTCCCAGCTCTAACTCGAAATGATTTTTGCAAAGTGTTCTGAGTTGCAACATTACCTCAGACCAAACAGAAGTTCACTGTTGGTTTCAGCGGGGAGGGGAGCCTAGTTGTTGGCTGGGAGCCTGCAGCAATGGCCAGGGCTCTCTGCCAGGGCTCCTGTTTTCAGAATGGGATGGGGAAGGCAGCAAAGGGAGCTCATCCTTGGGGCTCTTCAGCTGGTGCTGATGGGTGGAGTGGGTGCATTGGATGCCCCCCCCTCACCTGGAGGGGGGCAGTACACCTGCTACCCCCTCCAAAGGGGCTGAAAATGCCCTAGACTGAACTACCTCTGCTCCCTCCCCCCCGCCTCCCCCCCCCCCC